CAGGGGAAGAGGCTTTTGCTTGGTTATTAACAAAGAAATAGAGACACGCAAACCAGTACTTTTGAAAGACATTAAAAACAATTTTGAAGTTCATACACCTCCTCTTCTGGAGCGTATTTTATAGTGGCTTATGGGACAGAGAGGCATAATTAGCACTACATTCATTGTCAGGGACAAAATGCCAACAGTTGTGTGCTTTGTTAATCTTCAATCTCTCTTGTTACCCCAGCATGGAGCATCATTTACAGGTACCTGTATGGAATGAGGAAAAACAGGAGTCTACTCAGGCCCTAAAGGTGTTACCATTATTAAGGATAATACCAATTTCAGAACTACAGGCCTGTTCTCATTCTTTTACCATGTGCCTGTGATATCAAATAATCCCAAGAAGAGAAAAGAACTAAATTAATTTCTTTCTTAGTTGCATGAAATCTTGTTTTATGCCATACGTTACATGTCAGCGGCCCTTTATTACTGTGGTATGTGCAAGCAGGATAGATCTTCCAAATGAGGAAAGAATGAGCTTATCCCTACAGAGACAGAGAGACTCTTACTTAATTAGAAGTCAGGCACATGTAGAACCCTTGCTGATGGATGTGTAATTTCAGTTGGTGTGAAAAAAAAAAGACAAGAAGGAAAGAGAAGACAAAAAGGAAAGAGGAGACAAGAGTGTTGCCTTTCTAGGTGCAGTTTGTGTAATCACACCAGATTCATCTGTGCTCTTTTCCATTTGTTTCTGGGCTCTGCCAGGGGACCTCTGGGAATATCCCAGAGCTACATGTCCCGAGTTGACAGGAGGACTGCTAATTTTGCCAGTGTGCCATGCTAAATAGTGATTTTGGTAATTTAACACACTGTTACTTGATAGAAGCACTCCTGTAGCTGCTTGGATTTTTTTCTTAATATTAAGCATATGTGAGATTCATGTTTGATATGTCAAATAATCTTTCTGTAAAGATGATTGTGGACATAGGATGAAACAAGAGGAATTTTCAGTATCCAAACCCCCTAATTGTGTTCAAGTGCTGTAAAGTAACTGCCATGCTAACAGCTTTGTCTCTCTGGCCTCATTTATTTTATCAAAACACAACAGCTATGGAGAAAGACTGAGCAAAAACATTTCCAAAGTGTTCCAGTCGGTTTTCTCAATAATGAACTGAACTTTAATATATTAAATACAAAATAGTAATAAATTACAATTGCACAATTTCTTACAGAGTTTTTATTAAGATCAAAACTTATTTGTTCAGACTAGATTTATATAAATAAATCACAGTACATTTTTACTTGTGTTGAGAAGATTGTAATACGTATTACAAAATTAAGATTTTTTTTTTTGTCCCTCAAACCATCACTGCGAAAGGAATCATGCATTATTTCTACTAAACGAACAAAATGCCCACCTAATTGAGAGAGCCTTGATACAGGTATGGCTCTACTCTCCAAAATTAGACATGAAACATAGAGATACCAGGACTATTTATTGAACAGGAAATAATAAAGTATAGTACAATGTTCATGTGTTATTAAAACCAAAAGTATACCAAAACAACACACCTCTCTTCACGCACCTTTGCAATGGGTATTAAAAATGACAGCTGGCCAGCATGCAACTGAGTCAAACATTCCAGTTTTACAATGTCTACGTCTGAGCAAAAGAAGGAGGAACTAAAAACCCCAGACAAAAAACAAAGGAACAAATGAACAGCCCAGATGCTTACAAGTCCTCCGGTCATCTTCCCCTCTGTGCCACGTGTGCTGCCTTCGGCGCGCAGACGAAACCTTTCCTGGGTGGTGCCCTCCACTGCCGTCCGGATTAGCGCGCCTTATGGACCTTCAAGGAGATGGAGGTCCTCTCAGAGAACTGGAGGACCCTGGAGAACTTCCAGCTGTAGTTCCTTGCCCAACCCACTCTATTAGAAATTAAGCTCTAAACATGACTCTTGGAACCACTCAGCCTTGAATGTGCAGTGCCACGAAAATACAACTCCCACCTCGCACAGCTGGGTTCACCTACTGCAAGGTTGTCGCTTCAGGACAGAATTATGGCTGCAAGAGAGGCTTGCCATTAACTGCAACAAGATCCAAGGTGATGCTGTTGCAAAGTCTGTCCCAGCACAGGGGGCTTCTATTAAGTTCTACAGTATTGTGGATTACTTCCTCTACATGGTTTTTTCTTCTAGATAAGAAAGCCATTGTTTTCTCACTTGATACTGAGATGTAATCATATTACAATGCACTGTTCTAAAGGGAAAAAAGCACTTAATTGATGACACTTCAGATGGAGTCACCTGATCTAATTTTTTTTACTTCTGTTCAAACAAAATGCATCAACAGTAATTTCAGATCGATTTCTACCTGGCTAAACCAGACTTTTCAACTAAATTTCCCAGTCCCCATTTAGCGTTTGCTACTTTTAAACTGAAAGGGAGTTTGCAGCAACTTTTTTTTTTTGACTGCAGATATTTCCCCACCGTGCTCGAACGTTGCCAGGTGATAAGCATGTAAACATGTCTCTTTATGTTGCTGACTTTGGGTGCTTGTTTAAAAACACACAAAGGAAACCAAGCCAAACCAAAGAACAAAACAAACCAAAAACCCCCTAACAACCACCCTCTCAAGCCAAAAAGGGTGGACTAAAATAACCTCTTCTTTTTCATGCTTTTGCATTGCCCTTTGCTGTTTCATTTTGGACTGAACCAGGAGTTTTCCACACCACTAGTAAAACTGGACTTCTAAGAAACAAGTTTCTCAAACGTACTGCTTTGGTGTTTTGTGGATCTGCTGGCGTAGAAAGCTGAGGTGTGCAATGGCTGGTAAGAACAGCTTGAGCACTGGGTCTTTTATACTACAGGTTGTCTTTCTTTTCTGGTACTCCCCACCGCTGCCAGGATTACTGACAGGGAAAAGTGAAACTAAAGAGAGCAGGAATGCTTTTAATGTCTTGTGATTTCAGTGGAAACAGACAAAGAAATATTTCAGCACTCAACTGCAGAAGAGTTGTGCTAGGAGAGTCTTTTCATGGGAATATCACACAACTGTCCATTGTACTTGGCCTCAGTGCCAGTAACTTGGAAGGCTTTTCCATTGCCACTCGCTGCTTTTTCATAAAACAACATCTGACATGGTGGCTTGTTATGGAAAACTAGAAGTTAAAAACTAAAATTTAATAGCACGTTGTTAAAATGAGTGAAATGGGATTAAAATCCTACTGAGATGCACTTCTAAGGGATCTCCTCTTCTGTTTCAAGGTTAAGATACATTTCATACAGCCTAATTATGCATTCACAGCAAATAAGAAAACAAATGAGGGGTTTAGCTTTGAAATAATTCTTGTGAGTCTACTACTAATTTACCTCTGAGAATCAGAGTTCAGAAAAGAAAGACTGAACAGTATAGGGACCATAGTTTGCTCTGAGTTTCCAGTGTAACTATCCTCTATTTCTTCCAGTGGCTGTTGTATTATTGTAATACAGTCCAAAGACAGCAGCAGTCTACTGGCAGACCAGAACCATAACATGAAAATATTTCAGGTCTAGGGAATATCATTGGTTAAGTGGAGTATAAGGGTGAAGAGTGAAGTATCCAAATATAGAAAATAGCTATCATTCCATAGATGCACTACTATGATAAGGCAGATATTTGTAAAAAGCACATAGTAATGCCACAGCCTGAGTAACACTTTGCAAGTCATGAGACAGCAAAAATTAGGAGAATATAATAAATTTAGGGGGTTTTCCTCATCCCTAAGCCTTTGAGGTATGCTGGATTCCACTTAAAATGCTCACTGTCACAGAGATTTCTTTCTTGTTTTTTGGTAGAACTGCATTCAAAATAATTCTTTTGATGCCAGACCCTTGAGCATTAAATAAACTGAGTATGGTAATAAAATAAAATAAAAGAACCCCAACCCACTGGCAACTATAATGATACTACTTTTTGTTTGATGCCCCTCTGAACTGCTAGGGACAAATCCTAGAAAGTCTCCTGCACTGCTGTGCTGGTGTTTTCACAGAACTCTCTTTTGCTAATGTTGCAGTGGCAAAGCTGCCGGCTCTGCCTTCCAGGCAGGGGTGCATGTATAAAGGTTTGTCCAGGAAATCAAAGAACTCCACCCCAAAGCAAGAGCTCTTCCTCCTTTGCTCATGCCCATCTCCCCACAATGACTCCTGGGACATGAGCCTGGGTAAAGAGTGCAGGACTTTGCCTGAGGTGAGGATCATGCAGGAGCAGATACGCACAATGGATCGCACCACTGGTCTGCTGATACAAAGCTTCAGCTGAAAGTGCAGTGAAATAATTTTGCTGTGGCAACTTCGTGTCTGTTTTTCTTTTTTTTTATTTTTAAATGCCCAATTGTTACTCATCTGAAACTGTGCTTGGGCAGGTTTTGAAGTGTTCAGTTTGCCAGAAGCACCCTTGCCCACGGTATTCTGCACAGCATGGCACAAGATTTTTGAAAACCACTGTACTTACAGGGCTTCTGCTTTATGGCTGCAGCACATACAACAGATCCAAGATTTCCAGCAAGTGCCAAGCTGTGCTTTACCCACTAGCAATCCTTATTTTCTGAAAGATCCCCATTGATAGGTTATAAAACTAATTTTTCAGATTTGGGGTAAGAATTTTAAATATTTCTTCAATCCATGCATGCATATCTGTGTCAGCAAAGTTGCAAATCCAAAACACTTGGTGACCATTCAACACATACAAGACATGAAGCAATGTGTGTGCACATAAGCTTATCTGAACTATATTTAAAGACCAGGGCTCCCTATCTGTAAGTAAATAGCAGACAACTGTACCGTATAAAATACCCATACTTTGCATTTGCACTTTTTAAACAGAAAATCTTATGTAAAAACTTGAATCAAATTCTCTCTAGAAAAATTTGGAGGAAGAGAGAACTCCAGGCATGGCTAAATAAGTGGCAAAAAATTATCCCAGGGTCTCTTGGTTTGGGGCATAGATTTTATTGCGTGAAAGAGTCCAGCGCTTTGATTTATTTTCTTTTAATGGTCAGAATTTGTCAGAATTTACAATATACCATCATGTAAAATAGCCCTGCTAATTCTACCACAAATAGTAAAGGAAGTCTTCACAGGCACTATATATTTGGAACAGCATTTTAAAATGACACAGGGTGTGTTTGTGCCCAGGCACACGTGTGTGTGCTTGTTTGTATGATCAAGCATTGCCGCCTGTGACATGCTTCCAACATTTTGCAGTGTTGTGGACACAACTAAGAAACATTGACTGGAATATCATCTACAAAGGTTGAGGACTAACAACCTCCACGTTATACAGATGGTTATCTTCTTTCTGAAAGAACATACTGTCATTACAAATACCATATGCATCTTGTTCACACCCAGCAGAACTTTTTTTACAGTTTTTCAGATTTGAAGGATTTCTTCAAGCAACCATATTAATTTGTTTTCATGTAGGTGAAAGGAGGCACCAACTGAGACTGAGGACGCAACTTGTCATCAACAAATAAATGTCTGATGACAACCATTCTTGAAAAAAATTATTTAGAAAGCTATCCATTCACAATGCTGCACCTTTTTTGCAAATACAAGGACTACGTTTGTTGCTGCTTCCCATACTTGTTGGTTTCCATTGCTATTTTGCTTGTAAAACCTGGGTTATTCTGATGAACAGAAATGATGACTTGAATTTGGGTAATGCTTACAACCATACAAATAATCTATCAGTAGCAATAGTGTCAGCTGGAGAATTAATGCTACAAGTGGATAACATTACGCTACTTGAAACCAATAGCTCTTCACACAGTAGAAGACTGAGGGTCCTATTCAGCAAATATTCAGGGTCCTATGGCTGTGGCCACAGAGGTTCCAGAAGCTCTCGCTGAGTCTAATCCTGATTCAGGAACCAAAATGATATGCTGTGTATATATTTCTCTGCACAGCCTGGATGCGCTGGACACCCTCCCCCACTTGATTCCTGGGAAGGAAAAAAATATGTCTCTGTTTAGCTCAGTGACACGAAAAGCAATCCACAGTAATGAAATCTAAAGAAGTTAGCCAGGCATGTATGAAAAGAACAGGATGCCTGTAAAAAGGGAAGAACTGTCAAAACCTAATTGTGGGCTCTGGCTGCAATGAAATTTATCAGAGAGGGAAGACACGTTGGATATAATGATGTACAGAACTTTTGATAAGAGACACTTCTCCTATTCTGGGCAGGAACCACTGCGTAACTACTCCTTGTGTGCTGTTTCAAGCCATTCCTATCAATGCTTGGCTACAGCTGGAAGCTTGGTGAGGTGTTTTCCAAACCCAGCTCCCAAATGCCCAGGTCGGCATTTCAGACATGGCACTTCAGCTCACATCTAGCTTGTCACTGAGGGCACAAACACACGGGCAGAGCTTCCCCACTTTGCTCCATCTTCTTTCACAGACAGTTGCACGTTGGCAGCCCCCGTGCTGTGCAAAGGGACGGTGCCTTCCCACTGCGACTCTGCTGAAACTGTGCCGCCGTGGTCCCCAGGCACCGGTAAATGCAATTGCTTATGGACACAGGGCAGGGCTGTGGCATTCTTCCCAGTTTGTAGCATCTTCCTACTGCCTGAAAATTATTTATGGAACCGCCTGGGGTCAGCACTCACAACCAGGCAGGTAAATCTTCAGCTGCACCTCTGGTAACACAGCCTCACTCTGATGCATAAAGTACACTCAGAGAGGCTGCCTCCACGTATGAGGTGCTTACAGCACCATTCTTGGCTTGATATGGATACTATGGTCTTTCCTGTCCTTCAGCATTGGGGATAACACTGTGGCTGTTCATAAACACGATAGTTTCTTTTGACTGGGATTACTGCCTGACTTTAGGCAGTGAGAACAACAATGGAAGTAAGTCATGGTAACTCTTAGGAAGCAATTTAGTTAGATCTCTGATGAATTTTTGTGTCTCATGAATCAGGATTAGTGTTCCCTGTATTGGGGAGAGGATTAGACAGAGGGATTAAAAGGACGTCTTTACCCCACTGGACTCTGTGGAATAGCCCCTGAGGATATGGCTAAGAAAGAGTTCAACAGGAATGCCAAATTTCTGCTGAATAGGTTAAAAGGGTGAGGAAGCCTCTTCGGCAGCCATCCAAGCGCAGAAGACCTGCATAACATTCCTGCTGAATAGGGCCCTAAAGACAAAAAACAAAACAAAACAAAACAAAAAAAACCATAGGAACCTTGAAAAGCTTTTCTGATTGTGTCGCTTCTTATCAGCGCCTCAGATCTCCAGAGACACTTAAACATATTTTTTTCAGTGCAGTTAGGCATCCTTTGAGATGTGCTAGTGCCATGGATGATATATTGTTACAAGAAAAGAAGTAAATTAGGTTGTTATATATATAAAAAAAAATAGGTCTTGATTGTTCTGTAAACAAGGTCCATTTCTTTTTGTCAATTATCAACTGAGAGTTACCCAAGATCGTATTTAAAACACAAAACCAAACCCTTAATTGAGTGTATAATGTTTGGTGTTCTCATACATATATCTTGTAGACATTAATTACTTTCTGTCTCCCTAAAATTGAAAGGAGCAGACTTAACTTTCATTTTATGTCTGACTTTTAATATCGGTGTTTCCAAGCCCTTTTCTAGGATTTACTTCATGCATGTAGATCTTGGGTTTGTTCGTAAAATTTTATCCAACCTCTAATGCCATATGGAGGAATATTCAGAATAATTGTAATGGAGAAGTAGGAAATAAAAGTCTTACCTCTACAAGAGGATGCCAGTGAGCAATGGGTTTCCGAGGATATGAGAGCATTTCGTTCCAGTGGTCACGACCTAGACTTTCTGCATCGTTGCCTACTTGACATACTCCAATGACCTCATTGTGACCTACACTGTGAAAATGTTTCATAATATTTTTTTCTTAAAATTTTACCTTTAGAACCATACCATTTGCATATTTAATCAGAAACATTAATAATGGATTTTTAGAATTAATTCTCTCCTGAAAAATATCATGTACTACAAAATACGTAGGTTTGCTCTATGCATTTCCCACTAATCAGAACGATTTAATATTTCCCCCTTTTATAGCACCCACTGTGCCTATGTGCATTTGTTTCTTATTTTTGCATGGAGAATATAAAAGGTTCTTTGCCTCTCTTCTGTAATTAGCTGCAAATAAAAGTAAACTCTAAGCCACAATTTTATAACTGGAGGTCTGTGTGTGAGGAGTTTGAATAAATGCACACAAACAGAACATCAGCGTGCAGAGTGTCTGATTATATGCTCAATTATTTCAGTTCTGGCAGACATATATGCAGCTTAGTTATGTCAGCTATAAATGCAAATCTATATTTTGAACTGTAGAAAGGAAATTCTGCCCGGCGAAACAAAAAATTCGAATCTTCTACCAATATCAACATGAAATTAATTCTCCACTTATAGGGACAAAATTAATAACTTTCTTTCTGGATGCAAATCTGCCGTGCAAGATTTTATAAGCCAGTAGTTGATGTCGTGTTACAGCTACAGGTATCTCACCGGTCATAATCCATAACAGCTATCGACAAGTTAATTTGGTCAATGTTTTCTGGAGGGACGTCAAAGACTATGGCTTCATTGTAAACGGGATTGAGGGTATTCCTCTTGGTGGAAGTTTTTCTTTTCTTTAGTCGCCTTCCTTCACACATTAAAGAAACCTTCACGTAGGGATCTGTGTGAATCATAAGAAAAATGTTGATTTTCTTTTGACGCTTTTAAGCAAACGTAACGGCAAGTGAAGGGAGCAGACTTCTTGTATTGCCCATACCTGCTTGCAGAATTCATCTTCTGGACCTGACTGGAATTTGAGCTTCTTTCTTACTGTGGAGTGCCTGGGACGCAGTGGAGCTTTGAAAGCTTTACCTGGTTGACTGCTTATAATGAACAATTTAGGTTCAAGAAGCCCCTTGTTGTGCACAAACTTCTCGGAGGGTATTAAAATATCCACTGAACCATGTTATACATGACTATTTTACACAACAGCCTGTGTATCAGCCTATTTATAGCAGCCTAATTACTTGTTAGATTTGTAGCACAGACAGAAGATGACAATGTTTTTCACAACGGGATTTACTGATGTATGGTTAAATATAATTCAAAATGTAACAATTAGCAGCTTATATTTCTCAGGAGAATTATAATCATGTTTAAACTCCTGAATATAGTAAAAAAAAAAAAAAAATTTATTTATTTGCAGGTCCTTTCTGGGAGCTCCACAACTCCCTGCTAGTATTTAAAAGTAATTTATGAATTTTTACTTAAATTAGTTTATAATTTTCATTATCAAATTTTGAAAAGGTTGCTGAAAGGACTCTGGGATAGTCACTTCTTTGTCCATATGCCAACAAAAGCAGCATTGGTTCAGTGGCTCCTGGAGACTGGCAGAGAGGGTCAGTCTGCCTCTGTGCCATAATCATAATACTCTGCTGCTCAAATTCCCAGTATTAGGAATGCATTTTGGCCAACTCATGCTACTCTGAATCACAGTGGCTTTAGAAACAATAACTGTCTACTTAAGAGTAAAGTACTTTAAATTGTCGGTTGCAACTGAGTAATCTAAAATATATTATTTATTTCTCACAAACTTCTGTTCTCGAGTAACTCAAGAGCTCACAATATAAGAACCCTCTTCTGAAAAATCATTCTGGGATTTGAAGGGGTTGAATTCTTTGTCTCTCAGGAGGGAAATGAGACAGAAATCCATACTGAACATTAAATTAATTCATACCTGATGCTCCTGTGATATCCATTGCTTTTAAATTTCTTGCCTTTATTATTGTAATAGTTAGTCTACCAGCTGTTGGAAGGTAGCAGAGGGAAAACATAAGGTCACCAAGATCCACGTTATCCTGTTCCAAGAAAAGAGAGATAATATGAAGCAATAATAAGAATTTTCCTACCCACAACGGGAGCTAGAGATAAAAGTATACCTTTGGGGATCTACATTTTAGCAGGCAAAAGCTGAATTCTCATTCTGAAACACATCTGAAAAAACAGACATCCATCTGCATACAAGGTTTGAGTCGCTACGTTTGTTGCTGGACCACCAAAGTTCTCAAGGGTAAATGAGGTTTTAGTTTCTAGCACTCAGTCCTTGGAGCTGACACTCATTTAAGTGATGAGATACTATAAGGCACCGGAAAAATCTCTGTCCTGTTTTATATTTTGTAGTGATTTGTTTTGTACCATTGATTAGCAGCCACAGATGTCTGTGCCTTTCCTTCTGGTCTGCAGGAGGATACCCACAGAGAGTTTCACAGAAAAAAACCACAGGTTGCACAGGGCAAAGTCTTATGCAACTCTCAAGTTTGCATAAACTCAGGTGTGATAGGTCTGAAGTGTCTATGGCAATGGGACGGTCTCTGCCAGCAGTGGAGTAAGGGCATTACTTCCTGTGCCTGAAGCAGACAAGCTCCCTTATCAACCTGTTTCAACCTGATTTACAACCTGATTTAGAACCCTTTCCTCTGTTAATGGCATTAACAGGTTTCAGAAAGGCAGTAGCAAGTGTGCAAACCCTATCTGCAGTTACAAAGCATTGCTTTCTTGGTTGTTTTTTGTTGGTCTTTTTTTTGTTTGTTTTTGTTTGGTTTTTTGTTTTTTTTGATTGGTTGGTTGGTTGGTTGTTTTTTAAAAAGGGAAATTGAAGTCTTTTATGAAAAATATAGTGAATAAAGGATTGTATTAAATTACTTCTGTGATTTGATTTGCATTGTTTTGACCGAGCAATGAATTCATACTTTCATAGACCTGTCTCCTGTAACCTAATATTTCATTCTTGACTTCAAAGAATTATAATATCCAGCAAATTCAAAGCTACATTCCAGATTTTACAGGGAGGGAAATATAGCTGTTGTGGAGTATGTGTATCTTGCCCACTTAGCTTTGAGCCATAGCTCCTCTCCTTTCCCAGTTTGGCTCCTTCTGTGTCAGCAACCAAAAAAATGAAGGGTGGTGGATGATATAGAAAGCGAGTGAAAACAGCTCTCAAAACAGCCCCTAACACAGGTTTGTCTCTGAGCTGTCTCTGGCTTCTGTACAGATCAGTGCCCAGAGCCTGAGCCGTTATATTACATAGTTTCATGAGTTACTAGGGGAGATAAGCCGGACAGAAAATGTTGTTGTCAGAGTCATAGAAAAACGTTGTGTCAGAAGGGAATTTTAGGTGTTGCTTGATCCAATCCCTTGCTCAAGAGAGGCATCTTCGCTTTAGCTCTCAGCTCATTCGAGGAAAAAACCCCAGACATGTAAATTCATTCAAAAGTAGGTCCTTTCCTTGTGCTGTTATTTAAGAGAGATGCTGCCAAAGAAGGAAAAGGCTGATATTATGAGCCTTTTGTCAGGAATAACCAGCTTTTAACTCTGAGTTGACTTCATCACTTATCATCTTTTCCGTTCTAAAGTTCAGTGTTTCATGGTAGCTGTAAAGCTAATAAAGGCTGTGGCAATATCGAGGTAGCTCAGATGAGTCACCCAGTTCAGTGTCTCTTGATGGTGCACACTTGGTAACAGACCTGCTGCAACAAACTGTGTCACTGACTCACTTTGTGAGAGGATCAAAGTGCTGTTTGAGAAGGTGATGCTGTAAGAATTATTACAGGCTGAAGCAATGTCAGCACATCCGGGAGGAATTTCTCTTGGCTGACATCTGCACTTAACAATGCAGGAGGAATTTCCCAGTGATCAGCTGCAGCTCGATACCTATAACCTGGGGAACAGGAAGCAAAGTTTTCACTTATCCTTCCCATTGTGAGGAAGAGCAATTTCCAGCATGTGAGTGTACTTCACCAGCTCTGGGGCGCTGAGATTTGTGGCTGTGGAATCCACTCGTGCTGCAGCTCTGAGGGGAGCAGGATTTCATAAGCCATTTAGAGAAATGATTGACTGAAGCCACCTTTTGGGAATTTGTCAGTCTGGCAAGTTTTTTATAGAGCGGTTATTTTCAATGAATTGGTCACTAGCCTTCAGAAGAAGACAGCATTGCTGAATCACTCAGGTTTTCCCTGACCATAAAGAAGCCCATCAGGCAGCTGTTGCTATAACTGTGTATTTTGGCATTCCTCAATATTGTCAGCCACAGCAGCCTCACTCTGTATTCAACTCCAGTGCTCCACATGGTGACTAGGAATTCATTCTGTGAGGACTGTAAATGCTTTACTGTTACTACCAAATACAAGAGTTTCCATTCCAGACTTGGTCATCCTGAATGAACATTTTAAAAACTTGTTATCAATTCTTATCAAGAAGTTCATAAGCAAATGTATTACTACACAATTGTTTCATATATAAATGCCAAGAAATATCATAGTATCACAGAATAGCCTGAGTTGGAAGGAACTCACAAGGATCATCAATTCCAACTCCTGGCCTTGTGTAGGACACCCCAAAAATCACACATGTGCCTGAAAATGTTGTCCAAACACTTCTTGAACTCTGTCAGGCTTGGTGCTGTGACCTGGAGAGCCTGTTCCAGTGCCCAGCAATCCTCTGGGTGAAGAACCTTTTGCTGATATCCAACCTAAACCTCCCCTGACACAGGTTCATACCATTTCCTCAGTCTTGTCCCTGGTTACCAGAAAGAAGAGTTAAAATATGTTAACCTTCTGCATAAATGAACTGGTTAGGAAAGAATGGATCCCATATGTTGAATGCAGTGTCAGGAATTATGCCATAATATACTGGTCCACGTGTGAAAAATAATTGTCACCTGCACTGTGATGTGTTTTTAGCAAATGCTGCAATGACAATAATACTTCATTAATGCTTTTTGAAAAATTGCATTGGGTATTATATGGGAAAAGCATTGTTATACTGGAAACAGAGTCTGTGATTTCTTCACCCTTTTCCAGTTCCTGAAGTTAGAGGTGTTGTAGCAATAGGTCACAGATGACCGTGAGATTGTCTGTTCATAAGCCAATACCTGCAGTAATTTAACCTGGGCAGTCTGGGAATGGGACTGAAGGGAAGCTTGCAGGCAGCAGCAGGAAAGAGACACACTTTTTGGCATGCAAATCCTTCTCCAAGTCTGAAAAAGAAGCCCTGCCTACTCACACTTTCATTTTGACTTGTAGAGAATGACTACTCCATCGTACTGGCTACTTGTGAACGTTTCTTTAATTTTGGTAAGACAGATTTTCTAATAGAACCTTTCCCCATGCCCTGGCTATTCCTCCCTGCTTACCCCTGTTTCTGTAATCAAAGGGCAACATTTTCAGCTGTTCCAAACATTGTAAACTTTGCTGCTGGGGCCTTAAGGTTCAGTTAGAAAGGTTTAATGAGGGAATGTTCTTCAGAGAGTGCCACAATCTGTGACTGCACCACAGAACTTGCTCGTGTGTGTGTGCACCTGTCTGAATAACTGCAGTGGAACAGGCAACGTGCTCTGACTGGGGACCGGCGATGTCACAGCATCGCTGACCCTTCCATCCAGCAAACACCAGTCTTTACTATAAATTCAGTTTCTTAACAGAACCAAAGCCTATGCAACAGAGCACAGAGAGGATTAGTGCACATCATCACAAGTTTAAAATCACTGAGCTACACGGCTTAAGCCACGGATTGTCACTAAAGGTGTGCTGTATTAGCAAGAAACAGCTTCAAGGAACAGAATTAACAAGCATAGAGGGCAGGATCTTCTGCAAGGATTATGCTCCTGTTTGAATTGAGCACTTATGTGTTACTATGTATGCTTAACAATACGTGGCAATGTATTACACTGCCAGAGACATTTTAAAATTTCTGCATAGAAAGAAATTTCATAATATGGTAGGTTATTGAGTCATGCATGTTGTATATTCTAAATATGTGTCTTGCTTCATTCAGTGTGGTGCTAATACCACACTGTGCATGTTATGGTGCAATCATGACAGCCCCAAAATAACCAGACCAAAAGGCTGGGCAATGGCATTAATAACTTAAAAGAAAATAAGTAGAAGATAATTAAATTCCATGTATAATTTCTGTATATGTACATGCTGTGTATTATTTTTCTTTTGGTCCTGTTCAGCACGAAACATAAAAGAAGAGGAAGAAAACACTGCTTCTATTTTTAATCTATAAATCTATAACCTGCTCATTCCTGTGTTTTAAAAAAGGTAGAACATGACTGGCATCTGCTTTGCTTTTCCAGTGCCCGAGGCTTTGGCCCCAGGCTTGAGGTGATGGCTGAGTGCCTTGATGTTGTTAGCTGTGCCTTACAACAAGCTGCACAGCCTGTTTTTGATAATCCCACCTAGATTTGTCTCTGAGCCCTTGTCCTGTTCATGCAGTCCTTTATTCAAAAGGGCAAGAGCATGAAGTTTTCTTCCTTTAAAATGTCCCAGTGTTACCTAGGAGAGTTATATGTATTCAATCCAGCTGGAGAGTTCAAACCAGGGGTGTAAATCACAAGGTTTGCCTGAAAACCGCAAAGAGAATGAATCCCACACTGAAACCTCAAGGCAAATTTTACTCTTTGATTCCTGTTAGGAGGATGGAGACATAGCCCCCCTCACATTATCCTTCCTCCTTGCTCCATTTTCTGGTGGAAATAATTGATAACATTATAAAAATCATATTATTTGAATAATTTTCAGTGGCTTCTACTGAAAGGTTTAATGTTCCTACTTTTCCAAGAAAACATTTCTGGTTTTCCTCCTGTAAAATTAACACAAAATAAATATACCTTTAAAAATGTTGAATTCTAATAGTAATATTAATAGGTTTTTAGTCTAGAATCACATGGTATTTATAGAACTTAAAATTATTAAATTTTGTTGGCGAATAGCCTGCAGGATAAATCACTCCCTAGTACTGTGTCAGCAGCTCCATGCTGTTGCTTAGTGAGTATAACTCAGCATATTAAACAGGG